TTATATTAACATTGGTACATATATTAAAATATACAAAATAAAAATTATTTAAATGAATAATTACTATGTAATATGATTTGATTTAAAATTATATTTTAAAATTAATTTTATAATTTTATAATTTTTTTAAAAAAATCCCTCAATGAAGTGAGGGTAGCAATCTAGTGAGTTTAAAAAAAGTTTAGTCTTTTATAGTGAAGCAAAAAAAAAAAAGGGAAAAGAGATGTGCGGGTCAACCCGATCGACTGCCTACTCTGAACTGCGCCTAACTCCACCGATCCCAGCCCCACCTGATGTTGACCCACTACTTGCTCCAACCCGTATGCTACTTTGACTTATCGCGGTCCAATCTAAAGATAACCAAGAAACCTATTTCATTTAGGCCATTTGACTTCTTTTAGACTCCAACTCAAAGCCCTCACTATACATATCTCTTATAATTTTGGATCCGTATTGCTAATGTTCATATGCATTTATATATTTTTAATATATTGATAAATATGAAAATCATTTTTACTAAAAAGGGAGATAACATCTTTAAATACAAATAATTTTTGGGTCTTTGCCTATATATTAGAAAGAACCTAAATAATGATTCTCTTTGTTTAAAGGATTATAATGAAATCTTACAATCAGAAGGTTAATTTTCTTAAATTCCACCTACATACTGGGGAATTAAAGAAAATTTTCAACACCAAAGGATTTTATTTTTATAACTAAATATTCGTTGAAAGAAAAAATGAAAGGATGATAAAAATAATAAAATCAAAAGTTTTCAAGATGAGAAATGAAATTAATTATTTGCATCATCTTATTTTTATCTATATAATTTATTCATTTGCATCATCTGTGTATTTATCTCAAGTTACAAAATATGCATTTTATTTCTTAACAACAAAATCGAGATGAAAAATAATAAATTTTTTTTTAAAAAAGGGAGAAATTTTTTTTTTTTAACAAATATGATATTCCTAAGAAAAATAATTTTGAAAACCCTATTTAGATATTGGAGAGAATTCAAATGTTTAGTTTTATCAAGAATGTTATTTTTTACAAAAATTAATTATATGAATTTCTTAAGTGGAAGATAAATTTTCCCAAATTTTGCCTAAATATTGGGAATTAAAGAAAAATTTTCAACAAAAAAATAGATAAATAAATAAAATTTCTTTTATCACTAAATGTTTTTTAAATAAATGATAAAAAAATAAAGGGAGATAAAGTTAAAGGATTATAAGATAGAATTAAATTGGTCATTTGCATATTTGAATTTGTATTTACATATCTATTTGTTTCATGTTACATCATGCATTTTACTATTGTCAAAAAATGTAAATTAATAAATGGTGATGTTAAAATTTTACTTTTATTAAAAAATAAAAAGAGATTTTCCTAAGTAAAAATAATTCTTAGGACCATATATAGATATTGAAAGGTTTTTCAATAATTATTCTTTATAAAGAAATATTATGCCTAATTTTAAAGATTATTATGCAAATCCTAGGTGAATAAATAGTTTTTGAAATTCCCCTTAGCTATTGAGAAATTTAGGAAAATTTTTTGAAACTAAAGATTTTTATTTTATTTCTAAGTAAAATGTTTTTAAAAAAGATTTTGCAAAAGAAAAAATAAATTAAATTAAGGGAATCATTTTAAATTTTAAAATTAAAACCACTTTTATCAAAACAAAATAATGACATATGATTAATTAGTACCATTTTTAAAATAAGTGTTGTGAGGGTGCTAATCTTTCCCTGTATGTAACCATATTCCCGAATCTAAATTTGTTTTAGCAGACCAAGCAAAAATTATCTTTTTGATAAAAAAGTATTGTTATGATAGTTATGATATCTCAATTCGTTTTAAATAAAATTGAGAATTTTTGAAATATAATTTTATTTTGATAAATATTCATTTTTTTTATTTAACTCTCAATTAAAATATTAGTTTGATTATCTCAACTAATATTATCAAACCTAATAGTTATCATTTTTAAAAGGCGTATTGTTGTCATTTGTTGATAATGTATTTTAAAAAAAACTGAACATTTTCTTTTATGAACCACACGTAAAAGGGAGAATACTTTTTTACACTTATCACACGTGTGAAAGTTTAGAGGAATGAAAGTTTAGAGGAATGAATCTTATGCTAATAAATTTAGTCATAATATGAAACATGTATGAAAACCTAAATAATTTAATAGTGATTACTTATAAATGAGCTGTACACATCTTATTAAATCAGTGAGGTTCAATAATTGTGTAGGCTTTTAACCCATAAAACTTTGATGGGAAGATTTTTAAGATTTTCATAAAATTGACTAAGGTATTTACCCATTAAGAGTGCCAGTAAGAAGAGAGCAAAAAGGAAGATTTAATTTGTTCAAAAAATTGCTGTTACTCCAGTTTATCAATTAGGTCTACCCAAACAAATATATAAATTAATTCATTTAATTATGATGTTTTAATATTCACATGTCGATCTTGGATTATGCTAACATCTTAATCATGTATATTTGAAATCAATGTGACCGCAATTAACACAATTCTGCTTGCGTTTCAAACTTGTCATCACATTACATTGTGGAAATTTTCATTTATGATCCACCTAGTAACTAGTAAAAGTAAATTCTGAAGCCAAAGGCTTTCAACTGGAATTTCATTGAACTGGCCTCCTTCTTTTTGGGAATGGGTGATGCAATCCTTTGCGATCCACTTTCATGTTGTTCGCCAGGAAGAAACATTTAGATTTGAGTGGTCGATCTGATGAAATCGTGATCCTTTTCCTTGTCTCAGTTTGGACTTAGTCATGGTCTGTTTTTAACTTTGCAGGACGGCAGTTCAATGTTTTTAACTGACCAAGCTTTTGTGTCAAGCTCCATGAATAAATTATATAATATGTGCAAAAGAGTAAGTGAAACAGGTTGAATTGGAGTGGCATATACAAATACATATATTTATATATATATATATATTGTCATGGTCAACTAGGCATATCTCATTTGTAATTGGAAACTTTAATCTCAAACAAGTTGATGGTTTAGCATCAAATTTCTTATGTTTTATCATTTGTTCAGTTTGTTTCCACCAAAGAGTCTTGTTTGAAATGTTGAGGATTGTGAATGATCATTATGATATTCATGTTTTGTACTTTAATCAAATTCACATGAATAAGATTACTACTCATTGGGTTTGTATTTCTATCAAATTAGAACAAAAATGAGGGAATGTTGGAGAAACATTTTTTGGGGAATCGATTTTAATTGTTTTAACGAATAAACGTATATCAATTATTTAATTAAATATTCCTTCGCATGTGCTAAAATCATAGGTGAAGATGGCATGATATTAGTAAGTAGGAACAAAGAAAATATGGTTTAGACAAAATGTCAAGTTCGTCAGGACCGACAGCGAAAGCAATCGGTCATATGCGTGCATGGTGCGGCGTGGCAGAATATAAGTGGGGGATTAGCCACGTTCAAGGATTGCTTGTTTAATGCTGGGGTTTGGTAGCGAATGGTCATCAAAGGCAAAGGCAAAGACTTAAAAGAGAGAAGAGAAGTGGATCCCATTGCCAGACTAGACCAGACGGCAGCCGTAGGCCACAAGACAAGAAATTATCTCTCTGCGTTTCCCTGGATGAGATGGTGCCACCTGGCTAATTCCAGCTGGCTATGGCGATCTCTCTAGTCAAACCTACGACCTTTCGTCCTTTCCATCTAATGCTACCAATCCGTTGACTTGTATTCTAAACTATACTTAAATGAACCCTTTAAAAACCGAAGTTGCCACTAAACATTCATTCCGAGTTCTGACCGTTGTTTACGTTGTTTTGCTTTAACAAAATTTAAATTTTTTTTGAAAACCCAATTTCTATTATAAATGACCATCAATTTTATTGATCTTGGAAAATGGAAACCACTTGGGAGTTGGAACCAAGGCTGTGCTTGGATCAAAATTCTTGAATGGTACTTCTATATAAAATTGATATAATGTAGTTCTTTACTTAATATGGTTTTGGGATTTGTTCTAATCGTTCCCTTCTAATTAATTTAGTTTTTAAAAAGCACACATATTTATTTGAAAATACACATTTTAATTAAACATATAAGTTAACGAAAGACCTACATAACATATGAATAAGAGAGATTTAAATTGGAGAAATGTAATGATTTGACCTTGTCTTGTGGCATTTCATATTCTTTTTCAAACTTGGTAGACAATTAACAAATTTTTTTTTTCTAAAAAGTACTATTTCATAAATGCTAGTGTTAAAAACAGAGAAAGGAGAAGGTGTCAATATATTATTTTCATTTAAAGAATAAATTTTTAATTTCACAGGATAAAAAATATTTATAATTTGTCATTCGTTAGTTATTTGGTTGATATTTTTATTTAAAGATCATTTTATCTTTTAGAATTTAATATTTTCAAATATTAAGATGAAATAATATTTTATAATAATAAACTATTTTTATTTTTTTAAAATAAGCCTAATAATAATAGAAAAAATTTTTAGATGTAACAAAAAATAAAACTTACAATTGTAAGCATGTTAATATGTAAATATATATAAAAAAATAAATATATTGATCATGTAATATTATTTTGGCATGTAAAATTTTTCAAAAATAAGAAACATGCATGACATAATAAAAAAAAAATGATGACAATTGAATATTTATTATTTTGATTTTAATTATTATAATACTCGTAATTTAAAATCTAAATATTTATAAAAATATAATGTCCATAAACGTATTCATTTTAAATTAAAAATAATTTATAATAAATAAATATATTATTTATACACAAATAATATATAAAATCTCTATTCAAACAGTTTACCAAATAGCAAATTTATTTATTTAACACTAAACGCAACGCAGCAAAATTCAAAAAGCACCTCCAAGAATTCAGACAGACATCGTCTCTTCCCTTCTCTTCTCTTTAACTAACAACGAACACAGTCCTCTCTCGCTGTAACCGTATCCTTCAAATTTACCTAAGGGAAGACACGTAGGATGCCACGTCATCATACATTACTCCTCTTTGCCTTAAATTTGATAGGCGCCGACATTAACTCCTCAATGCCCGCTCTGTGTCTCTGTCTCAGCTAATTCGGACAGCATAGAAAGAAAAGGCAAAAGAAAGCAGCGGCAGCAGCACAAGAAGAAGAAGAAGAAGAGGATGACAATGAGCTGAGATGAGGTCTGTTTTGGAAGTCAGAGTTTTCTAACTGTAACAAAAAAAAAAGAAAAAGCCTTAAAGACCCAAAGATCAAATTCCCTTCCCCTCCCTTATTTCCTTCTTCCAGTTTGATTTCTCAATTCTCAAAAACTTCAACCATAACTACTACTACTACTACTACTACTACTCAAGACCTCAACATTTTTAACTCTTCAAACACTCTTTCTTTCTTTCTTTCTTGCTTGCTTGTTTTCTTACCTACAAATTTTCTACGCTTTATTTTCTTCACATTTTGGCTTTCCTTTTGATCTAAGGGTATGTTTGATTTTATCCCATCTTATTTTTCTTTTCTTCTGGTTCTAATCTTTCATTTTCTTCATCAGCGATTTATTTTCATTTTCTAATCATTTAATTCTTTCCATGATTTCTAGCTTTTATATACATTAAAAAAAAAAAAAAAAACAGGCTGTGCTATTTGTGGGTGTTGATTCATTTTCTTTTGCTATTATTTGGTTAATCAGTAAGGTGAATTTCTTTCCATTTTTTCTTCTTGGGAATTTGTATGCATGAGCAAATTGATGTCTTTGCCAAAGGTAGAGACTAGTAGATCTATGCATAATCATTCAGCTTAGCAAGTATCTTGTCCTGTCATTCCTTGCTTGGCTCAACTTGGCAATTGCAACACTTCAACCCCATTTCACATTGTATCTGCTCACAAGCTTGTAACATAATTTCTCTGCTTCCATAAGTCTAGATTGTAGAGTTGTCTACTTTTTAGCCTTTATTTCAACCTCCCCGCTTATCTAATTTAAATTTCCTGCCTGTTTATTGATTAAATTCCTTTCTAAGTGTCTTTTCAGGGGCAGTTGGTTTCACCTCTACATAAAGTTTTAGATCCTCTATGTTGTTTAAGTTATTATTCAAGTCTGTCGTAATGCAACATAAAATCCTTTGAGAATTACCACGAACATGCCTCATCTAATGTAGTCAAACCCCGTCTTGTATCTGTTCTTCATATATCATCATCATAGAATGCAATTTGGTTGGCATTATTCCAGAATCATGAAGTATGATATCCAAAAAGCATAGTGCTATTGTGCTACTCGTTACTCTATCTAACAAATATATTTCCATCTGTTCACAGACTGTGGGAGATTTTTCTTTACTGCAAGCACAATACCAGTGCCTATTTGATAATTGACTGCTGCAGAAGTAATGTTAGACGTCTGATCATAGTTGATTACATCTACATATCTGGAGCAATATGGCCAGTGGAGCAACTCCTAAAGTTCGATTAGTTAGATGTCCTAAATGTCGATTGGTTCTTCCAGAAGTGGCAGATTTTCCTGTATACAAATGTGGAGGATGTGATGCGATTCTTGTAGGTGAGAATCTTTCAAAATAAGAAACTCTTCACAGATCTTGCGAAACAAAATGATTTATTATCATCTTGATGAATGTGGGAAGTGAAATCGAATACTGAGTTATTTTCCTTTGCAGTTTTCAACACTTGCAAACTAGTTCCAGAATATGTGTAATTCTTCGATGCCTCAATAATTTTGATCCTTTTCCATGATTTTCTCAAATAATTTGAGCTTAGACATATATCACTCTTTCACAATGGTTAGATATTAATGATAGATTTATAACTTGGCTATCCTCATGGACATTTCCCCTGCTTTCTTGTTGTGACCAATCAAATAAAAATCTCCTACACCTTTTGGAAATCTAACTTCCTGTTTGTTCCTTATTTCGATTTCTTCCTGTTTGCAGCTAAAAATCAAAAAGCCATTGTCAAAAGCACATCCCTCTTGCAAGAAACAAAAGTTGCTTATGCAGATAAATTGGTTCACATGTCTGAATATGAAGAATCTGGCAGCTCAACTCCACAGGAAGCTCTTCCTTCCCCTCCAGAGTATCACTTGAGTCAAGAAAGTGGAGGAAATCAGAACATATCTTGTGAGTCTCAAAGTGAAAAGCATAATGAGAACTTATCAATTGAAGGGCAACATATTGATCAAAATACATCCAGTGCTATTGATAATAATTGTGATAAGCATGATGGAAATAGATCAAATGAAGGGCCGCAAAATGGAAGTGGACTGTTACAATTGGAATCTTTAGAATATTGCAATGTTCAACAGTCAGGAGTTTCCATTGGAGGTTCGTTATCCACTGAACTTCATCATGAGAATGAAGAGTTAATGTTAGTAGAAGAAGCAAATTTAGAAGCAGAGGCAAATGACAATTCCTCGCAGTTAGAAGGTGCATATTCAGAATTAGAGACTAATAACAAGATTGATTCCAACATTGGAGGCCCAAGCATTGAATACCCACCAGCTACAAGAGAAATTAATTTAACTGTTACTGCTTGTGCTGCAGCAGGGGAAGTCCTTTCATCATATAATGTTTTCTCTTCTCCTAATGAGCATCTAGAGCAATCTCAGAAAAGTGAACATCAAGGGTTTGACCGTGAGTCTACAGATTCTTTTGAAACTGCCGATTTTGTCAGCCCTAGATCAGAGCTTAGTGGTCCTCTTGAATATTTGTCTAAATCCACTACCACCAGAAGCTCTCATGCTTATGATGGAAGTATCTCTTCTTATGATGGAATGGACGATCACTTCCCTGACCAGCAAATACATTTATTGAAAAATAACTTTAAGGCTGCTAACTATCTTGTTCCTGAAGAAAGGCACAGAAGGGACACATTGCCAGGCAAAGGTACGATGAATGGTAATTCTGGAATGCAAGATCATGCAAGAAATCTCTCATCAGATTTATCCAATACGAAGCATTATGCCACAGCAAAATACAGCAAGTGGCATCGAGATGAAGCACTAGAACCTGTAATGCGTCACCATCCACCTAGAAACTGGCCAAGACTAGAGAGAGATGAATATCCATCTCAAATTCCTTTCTCTCAAAGGGCTTCCTTGCGTGGGAATGAAAGTGCGGGCCCTTCACATGAATTGCATGATGAGTTCCCTTTCGATTCAGCCTTCCATCCACTTGAGAAGGCTGAGTACAGTGAACAAGAAAATATGAAACTGTTTAGAATGGTGTATGAACTGCAGGATCAAATTAGCAAAACATGCCATGTGAATGGAAAGCCCAGTGGAAGGACTGCCACCGATGTACCTTGGAGGCAAAAGCATTTTCCTTCATATTACTATCAGGAGCGATCTGAGGAAGAAAATTTTTATCCTAGGTATCACGGAAGACATGGACATAGGAGCAGCTGGAGCCAGCAAAGTAGATTCTTGCCTATGCCTGTCTCAGGAGGTGCAATAAAGACTAGACATGACATTGACAATTCCTGCTTATGCTGCCATCCTCAAGCCTGGCAGCATTCAGAACAGTTGCCTCCACCCATCCGTCGACATAACCGAGGATTTTGTAGAGCCCACCGTGATCATAGTTGCTATAATTCCTACGGCTCTTGCTTCTCTAGTCCCCAAAGATATTTGGAGTCGGATTTTTCTATTTGGAGCCATGAAACTAAATCTGACGACAAGAGGTATAGAGATCACGAGGTGAAGAGGTATTTGCGGGAGAAACATAATTCAGTTAGGCGACATCTGCGGCCTACAGCAGGTGGAGCACCTTTTGTAACTTGTTATCATTGCTTCAGACCGTTGCAGTTACCTGCAGATTTTCTACTTTTTAAAAGGAGGTTCCATCAACTAAGATGTGGTGCTTGTTCAAAGGTACTTAAGTTTTCACTTCAAAAAGGAATTCATATAGTTCCTTATGAACTGGTTGCTGCAGAACCTCCACCAAGTGAGGTTGAGGAATGAAGTGATGCAGTTAATGTAAAAATATTTAATTCAGCATCTTGTAGCCCTGGTTGTTTGCAAGCAGATATATCTTACTCTGATGATTATGGACATTCCTGTTAAAGCTGCTCGACTGATGGAGGTCCTGTTTTTCATGCACAATTTCACGATCTTCAGGGCAATGCTGATGTCGAAATTATGTCTTGTAGTTCCTCCAAACCTATGGGACAGAGAAAGGACTTTGTTTTGAAGCAGTCCCACAAAAACCATGAGAATTCAATGGAAGCTTTTGATTCAGCGAAGCCTTCCTCGAATATGTCCAGGTCTCAGAAAGTGTCCTCAGAAATTGAAGAGTTGCCACCAATAACTGGATGTGTATGGCTTCATCAACTCATGGGCTTTTCTTCGCCGAGCCGAGTGATAAATGGCTTTGTACCATCCACGACTTGCACAAGCTCAGTCCACTCTGGCAAAAACTCAGATCAAATGGCTGAGTAACGTTTCTCAAGGTAATTGCATCTGGTAAAAGCTATTTTTTCATGACAAGTTGCTGTAGCGGGAAATGCTCAGTGACCTATTATATGATTGAAGTTTTGAAGTGTTAGCTAGTCATCATGATGTGATGAAATGGAAGAATCACCAAAACTGAGATTCCAAAATGAGAAAAAAAAAAGCTTCTGAGCCTCTGAGTGGAATAATTTCTTTGCATTGTTCCCTATTTAGAACCATGGGTGGAACAACATGGATCTGATTCTTTTTGCAGTATTATAGAACAGCGGTGTAACACTAAGGTTTTGGTTTTATGAATGTGAAGGCCTTTATAGAGGAGACATTTACTTGATTTGTTTATTCATGAACGGCTGATCCTGGATCATGCATAAATGGTTGGAAACTAGACAATCTTTTTATATTTTACAAAATGAGATTTGATGTGTCATATTTTTTTGGCCAGTTTCAAAGTGCTATTATGCATTCATAGAATTCAAGGACACATGTTTGAGCCCATAGAAAACAGAACAAATCCTGTTCAAGTAAGGTCGTTATTATCATGGATAATAAGTGATCCACCAATTGCAAATAAGGGTAGCATAAGATTTCATTAGCAAATCCAACACCTATCATGAGCATAAATCTCTTTCTGCTTTCTATATATACCATGCAACATGCACTATGCCCAACTATTAAGTAGCCCCTTTTTTCCCTTGCATATACATAAAAGAGATGAAAGGTGAAAATAAAAGAAGAAAAAGAAAAATAAATATAAATCAATACATCTATAATTGCATTATCTATCCGAAATTGTCCCTATAGTTGCTTCTTCTACTAGACAAGATGGATATCCTTTGGTCCTGAAGCATGTTCAACTCAGGGGCCAGCAACCGTGTTTATCGGCCAAATTACAGAAGCTGTTTCATTAGAAGTGCAAACTCCCTTGGAAATCGCAGTCCATATGATTCACTTACCCTAACCTGCAAAGAGATGAAAACATAGAAATGGGCAAGAGATTAATATCACCATAAAGCAGATTCATGGAGGTTGACCTTTAATATCACTATAAAACATAGAAACGAACTTTAATAATTCCCTTTTACTTTCAGTCCTACTATAATCCACAGCAGAATAATTTGCCTCTCTAAGTGGTCAGGGTCAGAGAGGCTATTACCAGATTCATGTGTTCAAAAACTCAAAAAAGTGAAGAACTAATAGGAGTAACAGATTTTTCTTTTTGTTGAATGATATATGCAGTAAGGGACTTCTATTCATAGACCAGTAGGCCAGCGGGCAGGAACCAGAGAGAGAAATATGGTCAATCAATGTAAATGTATGGCTTGCTTTCCTAAACAAATAATATGCCAATGTTTATACATTTTGAGAACATGCCAAGGCAACTTACTTATAACCTCACAAACTATGGCAATAGTAGAGTCTCTCTACCAAAAGGGAGTTGAGAGTTCATTCTTAATGGGCAATCTATGGCATAAATGTTTTAGTTAGATTTTGGAGATGCACATTTGATAAAGAAAATAGTTAGGGTCACACATCCAATTAATGGTGGGCTGCACTCCTATAACTAGGGGTGCATGCCCCAACATGTTTCCTGCATTGACATTGTCATTCCAAACATTAGATAATAGATAGTATAATTTATGTTTGACATAATAATTGCAGTTAGCTGTTGCCTCATTAACTTACATTGCTGGATACCTAAACTTCATCTAATAAAACAGCTTACCACATCAAGAAAGAGAGCATTCATCTGCCTCTCATCAACAATTATATTTGCAGAGACAGCAGTTGCAGTTGTATTTGTCCCCCTAGCAGTGGCAACAACTACCTCTGTATCAAGTTCCTGCATGAATAAAAATGAAGCACTATTATAGAATTTGAACAAGGGAAAATATGAGCAGGCAATTAATAGTAATAAGAGATAATTAGTTAAGGAGTTTTGCTAGTACACATCTGCTAGAATGCATCTTTCAAAATAATCATCTCTTTATTCCTAAGAAAATAACAGTTCTTTATGTTCCCACTACAGAACAGAGATCATTCTTAATCCCCTAAATTTGACTACGTATGTAGTCAACAGCAGTAATACCTATAAAAGTGATGGTTACTGTGATCAAGGAAACAGCAACCTAAAGTATCCTATGGTGCATCAATAGCTTATATACTAATGGCTAAATAATCCATAGGTATTTAACAACAAATAAGTGTTGTTGGTCCAAGGTAAAGTAATATTAGGTCAACAGAAATTTATTTGTTTAGATGAGGTTTTTTTTTTTTTTTTTTTTTTTGAGTGCTGGTGTGGGCATATGTACTTGCAATGCGCTTCTAAGGATATTGTTTGTTCACTTTTTTCTGGCAAGCATCCTGGGTTCCATATGCTTGCCTGCATAGATGAAAATATCTTTTCCAAGTCTCCCGCAAAGGCCTTAGCATCAATATCCTTATTGGTTGCTCCCATTTCAATCGAGGCAGATGCCATTGATTCATACTCTTCTGTTGCAATAGATGCCAAAAATACTTCCATAGCAGCCCATGTTTTCGGTGATATGCATCCGACAATACCTGTAAATTTAAATAACCTATTGAGAAACATGATATTGCTTTTATGCACGGGCAAATGGTTGACAATAGAAATAAAACATAAGCATGATATAAAATCAACAAATGCACTTGCCATATCTTCTTTAAATCAAATGTAAGCACTAAAGCACAGCATTGTCCATTGAACCATTTTAGTTATGGTTCAATAATTAAAAAGCAAATGCTAACTGTAGTTAATGATGGATGTCAAGAAAGATCAGGAAGAAAACATCTTTCCAAGGCGTAATTATAGTTCGCTAAGAGACGCTATTGTACAGGTCCAAGTACTCGATATCTAACATATTCAAATATAAAAGTATCTAGTTACCTTTTGCACAATATTCACAAATGGCTCTATTGTGAAAAATGTATAGAGTCATATTAATTGATTTCATTGTTTATAATCAAACAGAATTTTAGGTCTACTTTTGGCGGCTACAACAGAGAAAAAGAACCACTGTTTCTTGAATACAGAGTTATACCAAATATCCTCCAGTGATTTTTGCTAGTGTCTTGACCATAAATGAAGCAGCAACTTTACCAAAAGAAAGAATTACTTGAGGTTCCAGTATTTTGCACAAAAACACAAACATTTCCAGCCAAAAAAAAGTTTAGAAGGCTAAGTCAACAAAGCCAACATGTAACAGATTTACAATCTACATATTGCGATGAAAAATGAACACATATGATCATGTTCATATGTTTGCTCACATTCCTTAATAGCATAAAAGCTAAGATTCTTTATCCAAAACTTGTGAATGATGCTCCTTTACCTTAAAATAGAAAAAAGATCAGATTAAGTTGGGATTAACTTGGTGAAAAAGACAAACTTACCAAAATCAAGAAATCCAATGCGACCATCACGCAATAACCACAAATTGCCCACATGCACATCAGCATGGAAAGTTTCACAAGCAAGTAAACTACCAAACCTGCAGATATTATTCATGTCAACAGCATAAGTTCTTCAACTGGAATCCTGCGTCTCATATACGGATTACAGACATATTTCCAAGTATGTGAATCAATGCTGTCTTACCAGACATTAAGTGCAGTAATCAGACTATTCTCTGGGCTAGGGACAAGTGAACTTATAGTGTCTAAATCAGTAAGAGGAACTCCATATAGCCTCTCCATAGTCAAAACTCGTTGTGTGCTGCAATGTTTATACACTCTCGGAGCAGTTGCCTGCCTCATTAATCCCATAGCTTCAAGATATCTTCTGAATGATTCAATATTTGTAGCCTCCTTATTGAAGTCTACTTCTTCAAGCATAGACTCCCATATGTCTTCAACAATACCAACCTACTGAAAGGAGAAATATCTTGTAATAAAAACTTTTCAATATAAAAAATTTACAAGAAAAGTCAGTGAGAGGAGGAAATAATAAGATGCTAAAATATCCTAAGCTGATGTAGGTTCGGTGATTAATAGCAAACACGTTATTAAGTTATGATAATGCTAGCTGTTCCAACATTTGTGGGTTTGACTAAAAAAGTAACAAGCAAACAAACACCTAGGCACACAGGAAAGCTTTATCTCCAAAAAAGAGGTCATGTGTTGTACTCCCCTATCTCCAATTTAATTATCTAAAAATAAATAAATAATAAAATCAGACAAGCTAATATGGAAGTTTGTAACTGCATTCTTACCAGTGATGCACGGTTGAAATCAGGATTCAAGAACTCCAATATTCGAGCCACAATATATACAAAGTTCAGGTCTGGCACCAAAATGTCCTCAATTCCAGGTTTCAATACTTTATAACTACATCATCTTGGGAACCTCTAAGCCTTGCACCATGTACCTAGGCATGACAATGTACAGTTCTAATAAAAGATTACAAACACATGCTATAAGATAAATGAGTAATTCTAGGGGCAAATAAAGAAAGGGGAAGAGAGAGCTATAAAAAAGTAAGAAAGATTTCAGACCTGTGCTATAGAGGCTGAGGCAATTGGTGTTCGATTAATATATTCATATATGCTATCAATTGGTCTCCCTAACTCTTGATGTAAGATCATTTGAATGTCTTCAAAAGGAACCGGAGGAGCTCTATCAAAGCATTTCTGGAACTCTTCAACATATTCTGGTGGGAATAATGTAGGTGCAGATGCTATGAACTGGCAAAAAGCAATCTAAGATGAGCAATTGTGATGTAACATTTTACACAAGAAGATTAACTGAAAGATATGAAAACCACAATAGAATCAATTATATTCGAGGAAGATTAAGTTGAAAATTCTTTTCAGGCCATAACACCGAAATTATGATGCCACTTCCCAGACTCCCACAACATACTAAGAAGTTGAGCAACTGAAATACGGTATGGATGAATGATAATGCCATTTGAGCTCTATCAGCAGTTTATGATCAGTAAGAATCTTGGGAAAAAAAAAAAATCAAAGCCTACTACTTACCTGTCCTAATTTGATATAGGTTGCACCCATACGTTCAAACAATTTCCTCAGGTAAAGTGGCGAAAGCAATCCCAGCTGCAATTGAGATGGTATTCCAGTAGATGCATCTGTTGACTGCAAAAAATTTTAGGGAATCAATCTATCTGTATTGCTTGATAACGGAAGAGCATGAGTATCCTTGAAAAAAGAAAAAGAAAGAGCTATCTGAGTAAAGCGTGTTGGGAAAAAGAAAAGAAAGAAGAGGCAAATACCCTTGAAACATCAGCAAGCCATTCCCCACCAACACCAACAAATGCTTGGATACCTTGAGCTAGCCTTAGGGCTCCCCGGGGACCTGTGCTTATAGATGTCTGGACAATATCCTCTACCAGTTTGGGTAAGTTCTCAATACTACCTGATAACGATTTGAACACAAAACTATTAAGAAATTCGTACAAGAAAAATTGACGGTGATAAAATAAATTTCCAATTACAGGGCAGTAGCAGGGAAACCCTGATGAAAGTTCAAATAGTGGCACTTGAAAGGGTCAAAAAGGAGGAAGAAAAAGAAGAAGACTAGTAATAAAACAATACAAAAGAAAGGTGGGTAATTGAAGTATATAAATCGGTGCAGAAAGCAAAGGGAAAGAGCAGTAGTTACTTTGGAGGCGAGAAGAGAGACGATCCTGTTGCTGTGTTTGAGATTGAGATGGTTGAGAGTATTGGAACTTGGAGTTGGAGTTGGAGTTGGAGTTGGAACGCCCATTTAGCTTCTTCAAGCCAACAATCGATCTTATTGTACAAGCAGAAGCTGCGGAAGCTGCTGCTGCTGCTGTTGGTTTATTGGGCAACTGAGGGTGATGAAACGACGGTAAGCGCCCGCTTCTAAATGCTGAAACCGCCATTTTAGTTTTTTAGTTACTACCTCAATAAAACTGAAGAATGAAGAAAAGAATTTATTGTTCAGGAAAAATACAGAGAAAGAGAGAGTCCTCCAGATTCTAAGAAGTAGGAAAAGCCTTTTTGTCATTGGTTCTTTCAACACAACAAAACGCTTCTGTCTCAATTTAATTAAATCAATTTTAATCTAATATCATCAGAAAATAAAAGCATGACAGAGCTGATGCCACGTGGCGTGGCAATTTGAGGGAAGGTTGGCGCTTTCCTTTCTCTGCCAATTTCCACACATTTTTCCTCAAATATTGTTAATTAATAATATTAAAAATTGAATTAATTTTTGATGAGATGAAAAAGAATATATTAATTATTTTACTTAAAAATAATAAATTTTAAATTAAAAAAAAATTTTATGTATTTTTTATTAAAAAAATTTCATATTAATATATTTCACATGATAAAAAAAAATTAAATTAACATGCTATATAATCAGTCGAATTTAATTATAATCAATCATTTTAAATTTATTTTATATAGAAGTACATGATTTTAATTCTTGCTTTTCTTGTGATTGATTGATGGACATAATGATAAATGCAGTCCTTAAACTGTAAAAAATATATTCTTTAATTCTTTTGGTTTATTAGAGTTTTTTTCTTTCTTTTTTTTTTTTTTTTTTTTTTTTTTTGCCAATTTGATCGATTCTAATTCAGATATGTTTTAGATAAACGTATCTGAGACAGTGAAAAACATGAATAACTAATTTTCAAAGCTTCTTGAATAACGTGATGCCATTAAATAGGCCATACCATTTAGAAAAAGATTTTTATCATGTATAAGGATAATGAAGTGTAAAAACAATACGAACAAAGTTCTTAAGATTGTCACACGCATTTATCATGCAAAATGCATTCTGTTAATTTTTGGTTGCCTCGTGGAGAGCATGAATTGTAACTAGTTAACAAAAATAATCCATACAGCATCAAAAGATCATGAGTTGCTAAAACAAGCGTCTGAATTCCGATCATATCCAATGGCATACCTTTTTGGTTTAAATCCCAATACAAATCTCAACCAACAATTTTATGAATGCATGAATTCAGAAATTGTGCGTATTATGAAAGAAGCTCAAGTTTAAATGAGATAACAGTACCAACTTAAAAGTGCAAAGTTCTTTCAATGTTTCCCTTTCCCAGGAATTAATGCCAAAGAGGCCCCCTCATTCTCATAACAATAAACCACAAAATTACACTACATTATTATTCAAGTCCATAATTCCCTCATCAGCAACCTGATAGACAAAACCACGATGAGTTGCAAGATTTTGAACACCCATAATTCACTTCTCCTCAGACTTTGGTTTCTCCAAAAAAGTCTTCTTCAACCAATCAAATGGCTGGCAAATAAAAATAAAAATTTTCAAACATTAGCTAATCATTCAAAAACTCATAAACAACTGTAATCTCTAACGACAGGTTCACTGTCAGGCACATGCTCTCTGCACACCAAGCTAATCATTCAAGAATCCACTTAAATGTTAAACCAAAAGCAGTTCAAAGAAGAAAAGATGGTCATATCTTATCTAAATGAGTTTCAATTTATTGATTGAATGTTCAAATCAAACTCAACCTACAATCATTACAAAACAAACATTAACAATTATAAGCTACTCATATATAACTTTTGAGTATTTGTAGATCAGATGTTTAGAAAGGGTCACAAAGGGGCAGCTGTGCGTGTAAACATGTTAAACATACAGATTAACATCTGAATGGAACCAAGATAGGATAGATGATGGTTTTGGAGAGCCGACAGAATTCAGTCATACAGGCACCATAAGCGGGCAGAAATGAATGCACGAACTAAAAGTAACATGACAGAGCACTAGCTACGAATCAAAAACAATAATGGGTAAAAGTAGATGATGATATTAAATCATTCTGAATCAGATCATGATCAAAAAATAGAATTTATAACTGAAGAGTGTTTTAAAGCAATGTTGTAATCAATCATTATAACACCCTAAAGAAAACCATATCTAAATTCAAAGCCTCACCATGCGTACAAGCCCAATTCACCACTCCTATTTATGTTTTATGTTTCCTATAACTGTTTAGGAGGAAACGAAGTTTTAAATACTCCAAAAATACAAGGAGATTTTCACATTATTGATTAGATGTTATCCTGCATAAAAGGCCATATTTTGACCCACTCCGAACACCAACACCAGCTCTTTCATGCAAGTGTTTTGAGTCCCTACATTCCTTTGGAAGGTCCAATTTTTCTTACTAAGAACTAGTGTTTCATTGCCAAAAATGATGAGTTCCGTGTGTGATCAAGCAAAACCAAATGCGAACATGGTAATGCAAAGTCTCGTTTTTTCCAACTAGATAGCTGATAAAATATCAATGTTTTGAATCCTACAGTCAGATTGATACCAGTATTACAGAATGAATGGCTCTTGAGAGCCTCCCAACCAAAATCCCTCAATATGGGCCAAAAACTAGATAAGATATCCGTAGCATCAACCGTTTAATCACATAAATAGAAGAAAAGATCTGTTCGAAGGAATAATTTTAAATTACACTGATCAGAAAAGAGAGATCCCAATTTTTTTAGGAAAACCCTAGATAACCAATTAAATAGATTTTCATATCGATCTAATAGTAATACAGTAATAATTATTAAAAAGAAGGAAATAAAGAACCTGGATGACCCAAAGAGCGGTGGTGGTGGCAGCGACGCCCCACAAGGCGGCGGACTGGATGTCCGCTGGCTGTGGACGGAGCCTAGGTTTGAGGAACTTGAACATGGACCCTCCTGCCATTTTCAAAACCCGGACCTTTTTACAAATAAAACAAACAATTATTGTGAAAGAGATGGATATGAATCCCTTTCTTACGCTCTATTCTGTCTTCACTCTGCCTCTGTCTGTTTAATGTCGAATGTTCAACTCTTTAATGCCCCCTTTCACTATTTCCTCTCAATATTACCAATTGTTTTGCGCCCTACGATTGTTCTCACTTCTCATCCACGGTGGATATCAGCTCTCCAACCAAATTTTGACGTTTCGCAACTTTTTGCCACGTTAGCATCATGTCAGCTTATTCTTTCCTTTTCTTTTTTAAGTCTAAAATATTTTTTAAAAAATCTCTTAATTATTTTATTTTTAAAAATATGTTTTTATATTTTTATTATATTTAAAAAAATTTGTAACCTTTTAACTTTTGATTTATATTTAAATAAGCTTTTATTTAAAATAAAAAATTAATTTATATTAAAATTTTATTTAAGTACAAATTAAAAATTAACAATTTTTTAATATAAATTAAAAATTAAAAATTTATTTGGATCCAAAGTAAAATTTATATAAACATCGTATTTGATTCATATAAAATTTATTTAAATAAAATGATAAATTAATAATTAATAATTTATTTGGATCCCAATTAAAATTTATATAAAAATCGTATTTGATTCATATAAAATTTATTTATATAAAATGATAATATTCAAAAACTTTTTTATTATTTTATTCTTCTTTTAATTTATCTACATGGAAAATTTCCAAGAAGACTCAGAAAAATATTTTAAAAATTAGTTACTATTATGCCCAGCACAAATGGTAAGCAACTGGAAGGCCAACCGCACGGTAGGATGCTGTCTAAATGCAGGTCATGCTGCAATCGGTCTCAAAAAATGACCTGAATTCCATAGCACCTCTGTTGGAACCCAAACTAGCCTAACACATTGGATAGAGATATTATTTACATCGATATCTTGGGGAGACCTCTTTTGTACATAAGAATACTTTGCAATCAATGAAATTATGAACGTCCATACTTGTTTGGTAATGACATTTTACAACATTAATTAAAGAAATCTGAACCAGAATGAAGAAAACCATCTTCCACAAGTTGAATGCAGAGTCCTATTTCCTCATTTTGACTTAACAAGCATGCCGTCCAGAAGCTAAGTTTAGCTAATTTTCGCATCCATTCAGTACAAAAAAGTTGGGTGACTCCAATCATTAACTCCCAACTAAAACCTTCATAACGCATAGAGAAAGCAGTCAAAGCAGAGGATTGGCAAAAAAGACTCTTAGATCTAGTTCTTCCAACATATCATTTATCATCTGGCTAAACTAAAGCTCAAAGATTGGTTTCACTACCTAATTAGAAGCTAAAAAAATTGATTTGGTTACTCTTTATGCTATCCAGCTTTACTGCTGGTCGCCGACCCTTATCTGGACCACCAATAATGCCCCAAGCCTCAAATTGCCTCTGTCGTGCTCTTGCCCTCTCTTTCTCCTCTTCAGACTTCAATGAAAAACAGTAGGGACAAGAAACCCCATACTCCCACTCTTGCGCTTCCATGTCAGCATCACTAACAGGTTGCTTACACCCATAGCAAAGCTTGAAATTTCCTTGTACCAGCCGGTGCTCAACAGAGACTCGCTTGTCAAACACAAAGCACTCACCCTCCCAAAGGCTCTCTGTCTTGGGGACTTCCTCTAGGTATTTCAAAATCCCACCTTTCAAATGATAGACCTGATAAGGATTTAAACAATGACAGAATGGTAGCTTCCACAAACTAATATAGGAAAATGGAACATCATCTTGATTGAATGTAAATTAATGAAGAGATCTCTACTTCTAAAGGAGGACTGTTAAGTTTATTTCAACAAACAATTTCATGTAGAAACAACTCCTAAAAGAATAACTTTACTTCAGAAATAGTATCAAAGCATCATAACCAAACATCATATGATTTAGATAAGGTTCAAAAGGAAAACTACCTCCTCAAAACCTTTGCTGAGCAGAAAACTCGAAGCTTTCTCACATCTAATTCCTCCTGTGCAATACATTGCAACCCGCTTTGGAATTTTATGATTTGGAACCTCTGCATCCTTATTGATGCTTTCATCCAACCCTTTCTTCTCCACCTTTGCATGCTCCACATCTGAACCATCAAGTTGGAACTGGTCCTCCACCCAAGATGGGAACTCGCGAAATGCCATGGTACATGGATCAACTGCTCCTTTGAACATCCCAATTCTAGTTTCATAGTTATTGCGAACATCAATTACCACCTAAATACAAGTATAAGAAGCAATGAGATCAGTTAAAATGTTCCAATCCTCCCACTACTTCTAAAAGGAAGAGAAAGTCAGGGATTGCTTATTTGTTGACCAAAATGTCGTGACTTGTTCAAAACCAATCAAAACAAAGTTGAAAGTTTCGATAGTATGGCAAATAGCTAGTATTTATCAACAATTTTCAACTCAAAGAATGCCATTTATTGATGCCTTGTCCTGCTAATTGGCTTAATATTGAATTCAAATCGGTTGGGATTTGAAATCAAAGGGAAAGAAGATAATAACATCAGAAACCTCATGAACAACACACAGAAGAACTTAATAAGCTTGGAACAATAAACATCCAAATATAAAGTACTTCAGGCAAAGTGCACTTCTTAGTATTTCATGCATGTTGCCTTACTAAAATGTAAATATCAATTGAAAAATTATAATAATCCACAGAAGAACTTAAAACATTTTCATTGCAGTCCAACCAGATCAACCTTAGCAAGGGACAGATCAATATGAGCGAGGAAAAAAACAGTTAAATGCTAATGACACTCTTCCACGATGACACAACAGAATAAACACATATTATCACACTGAATATCAGGTTGTTGGCACAAAAGTTTAAACTATAATATACAAGCTAGTGAGATATCTAAATTCACATCGGATGAGCCATCCAATCAAAAGCTACACACGAAAGAGCAATGCTTGAAGACAAAAAGGGGTATCATGAAAGCTGGTTTGAACTTTTAATAGTAACTGGACAGAACTTAAATAATTAATGATATGTGAAATCCTGAAAAGCAAATTAGTAAATCACGATGAAGTGACCAAAAAGCTGCAAGAAAGTTTGGTTACTCACAGTATCTGGATCACTGATCAAAGCATTCCAATCCTTTGGACTAACATACTTTCCAACCTTTTCAATTGGTGATACATCTGGCATTCCAAGAGTAACAATCTGCTTAAACATGAACAAAAAGAAAACATTGTTATAAAAGAGGTAGAGAAATGAAAGGTTGACTTAACAAAAATCATAAAAACAAAAAAAGGGAGGGCCATCCACTGCTTTGCTTCTAAAGAAAATACCTCTTTCTTCAACTTGACTCTCACATGGTCCCATCGAAAGGGTGCATCTTCACCTGCTGCAAGAGGAGAACTACTAGAGTGTCCATGATGGATAGCTTCCTGCTCAGGACTAACTGGTGATTCTATCTGCCTTAACCCCTTTAGGCGGTCATCAGTTAGGATAAATCCAAGGACTCTTTCCACTGACACCCGTGTGCCACAAATGCTACCATTGATCCCTTCAGGGGCAAGAATGATGCCACCTGAAACACGCTGAAGGGATCAGCTTGTAAGGTGAGATGGCCAGGAATGCATAAAGTTGCATGAATTACATATAACGTGCAAAATAAAATGTCAAGGTTGCAGGTTATGGGAAATCATCATGCCAATAATAAAAGAATATGCATAAATAGACAAAAAAAAAAAAAGCATAACAGCTAAATTCGTGCCATACAGCTCAATCCAAGAACAATTATTATCATTTTGCATTCCACAATAAAAAGAATAAAATTATTCAAGAAGGTTGGCATATATATTCTCCAGCAATGGCAGTGAGCTAGGATATTTAAAAAAAGTTCAATTTTTGTTTAAAAGATGAAACCTTCCATGCTTTCAGGATTCACGGTAAAAACATAACACATAAAATAAAACTCCTCCTGATTATCAACCAACATTCCTCAAAATGTTTAAAGCAGCTTATACTATAAAATATAAACGAATAAAGATACATGAATTGAAGAGTACCAGGTCCTGGCAGAGTTGCTTCAAGGGTTTGCGCAAATCAGCATGGTCTGGGAAATCAGCAAACTTGTAGAAGGAGACGACCACAAGTGAGTGTGAATCGGATTCCAGGGGCTTCTGGACCTGGTCCGAATGCGAAATGGGAATTGGGTCAGCCGTGGTCGCAGAGAAGCACTTGGACTGTGTCATACTCACCCTCCGAGACTGAGAGAAAACGCAAGAATCAGAGAGAGGAGTCTTGAGGGGTAGATTAGAGATGGGTTGAGAAGTGGAGGGAAGATGAAATTTAGGGTTAGAAGAGAGAGAAGAAGAAGATGACGATAGCATCCTCAGGGCCAGCAATAGAGGTGAAGTACACCTTAGCATCGGCTTCTGCTTTCCATTTACTAGGCTCCACTTCTCACTTCAGCTCGTTCTTGCTGACATGCTGGGTAATTGTTATCGGCCTATTGGGTAAAATAAACAACATAATGGGTGCAGTCCCCAAAGAACAACAAAGGCCCATTTATTTGTTGAGTGTAAATCCAATAACATTGTTTTTCTCCAGGGTTACAAAATAGGAGGCAGTAATCTTATATCATCTAATACATTTCATATCGTGTTCGATCATTTTGGAATTCGAACTCGTAATTTCATTTCATGTTCGATCTTTATGGGATCTCATAATTCCATTTCTTATTCCTTCACTTTAAAATTCGAACTGCTCATCCTCAAAATAAAGTTCTAAATTCTAATCAACCCTCGAAAACCCAATAACATATTGATAACTGACTAGTGAAGCATTTTTATTCATATTCTTAATATTAACACTCTGTTTGTGGCTAACAAAAGTGATTTCCTCATGACACTATCCATCAACTATGTCCAGGCCGTCGTGATTAGGACTAATTAGAAATATGAACAGCAGGTTATTACAGCTAGGGTTGACATTGGCAAAATTTTTTTTTTCAAATTTTAGCAAGTTAAATTAAATTAAGTTTATTGTTATATTTTCTTATTGCAGTTGGCCATTGAGTGCTTTGACTTGCATCAAGAATTTTTTTTTTTTTTTACATATATCTTAATTCAAATAATTACATATTTACACAACTACTAATGATTTTAATAAAATTTTAGTTTTGGATACTATTATAAGACATTGTAATATACTAATAATTTAGACTCAACCTAACTACTGTTATATATATTGTTAAAATTTTTTTTGAAAATGCAAGATTTGAATCTTCACTTTTGTACCTCTTCCTATGTAAAATATAAATAGAAGAGGATGATGTATAAAACAAATTATTTTATGTCTTTTTTTTTAACTTCATATAAAATTAATATTTTTATAAATCAACTGTTATATTTAACAATTTATTTATATTTATTATGTATGTAAAATTTTGAATCAATTAGATATCAAACTATTTTGATCGAAAATAACATTTTTTTAATATGTATTCATGGTTAAAATTTTATTATGATCACATAAATAATTAAATGTTTTAAATTAAATTTAAATTTATCATGCATATATATGGCCAAAAGCTTTTTAATGTTTAACACTAAATTTAACTCAATTAATTAAAGTAATCCTCTTTAAAATATAACATTTTATAAATATGAGATTTGAATTCTAAAACTTATAACTTTTAATTTTATTCTTAAGTTGAGACCTTTAAAAAAAAACTACTAAAAAAATAGCAAGCACCATAGGAAAAAATAGATATATCCACTTCAACTTTTTAAGCAGTCAATATAATCTTTGGTAAATTTTGAACAAAAGGAAGAGGGCATTTGTCAAAAATAATTGTTATATGTTCATCTAGAAGCAAGGAAAAGGAAAATTCATGGAAGCTGGCTCAAACTCCATCCACACCTTTTGTTTTACACTACTAGTCCTATTTATTTCTATTTTATTTGTGATGATGCAATAATTTTTACCACATCGTCATCTCCTGTGTCGTGTCCTAGCCTTTTTTTCTGTATTTGACTAGAACAATTATCCCATTCTCCCTTTTCATTTCCCTAATTTTTGCTTCAAATTTCCAAAATAGGGTTTACTCCTAGTTTTCAATGGGGGAAAAAGATGGGAGGGCGAACACTCACACCACATGCTACCTACTGGCAGCTTGACTTGTTCATCAAGATATCTACCAATTTGATCTTATAAATATCAAATCTTTGTTGGAAATGCATCTATTTTCCAATATTTTAACATAGCCTGGTGCACCACCAATTTCATTCATTGGACTCTGAAATTTTTTATATTCTCTTCAATTTCAACGCCTAAGGCAGGAGAAAAAAATATCGAAAAAAGAACCCAAAACTAGTATTAGTATTTTACAGTAAAGTTGTCTTTACGGAAAATAATGGAATAATCTTAGAGACCTACCCACTTTGAAATTCAAACATAAAAATAGTTTTTCCACGATCTTTAATATTCTTTCAGGCCATGTTTAGATCAAATGATGACTTGGAATGGTTTCTTTTTTATTATCAACAAGCACCTTTTTTGGGGTTTAATAAATACTAATTATTCATTCACTATTTGCAAATTGAACTTTGCCAGATGAGAAAGAAAATGAGAGGCTGCCTAAAGCTTCAGCCAACAAAACAAAGGAAAAAGAAAGGGTTTGGGGGGGAGATGTTGGCATCAGCCTTCCATCATGTAGGAACGTCAGCTTGCTTTTGTCAGCATTGAGTGGGAGTTTTCTTTCCTCGCTTTACTTTTCCTACTTCATATCAATGCCCCCCTTCCTTACAATTTCCTTCGCTTTGCTTCTATCTTTCCTCATCTCTCCCTTTTTCTGTCCTAAAATCTTATCTCTTCTGCTCCTTTCACTTATATATATTTACTACTTCGAGTAAGCATAGCAAAAAAGAAAAGCAGAACAAATTTCTACTTTTTTTTTTTTTTGCTGGTAGTAGCTATGGGTAGTCTTTCACCTTGGCCTGAAAGACTGTCAAGCAACAAGAAAAGGGCCATACAAGAACTTGCTCAAGGCCAAGAGTTTACTACCCAGCTTCAGATTCTTTTACACAAGCCATCTGAAGAAGGAGTGAGTCTCTTAGCTATGGAACTTGCGCAGAAGATCTTGAGATCTTTCAATCAGACAATTTCTTTGTTGAGTTCTGTTGACTCTGCTGAGGTTTCTAAGAATCAGGCAACTTCTAACGATGATTCCCCCTGTTGTGATGACCGGAGGTCTGAAAATTCTAGTGAAAGCAGGAAGAGACCTGCCTCTAAGGACAGGAGAGGCCGTTACAAGAGGAAGTAAGATTCTTTTCCAAGCATTTTTTCTTCAAGCATGCTTAATTGGAGCGTTCATTCATAGATTCTAATTCCAATTGGATGTTTCTTCTTGCAGGAGGGATGCACAAACATGGACGGTAGTTTCTGCTACAACGGAAGATGGTCATGCCTGGAGGAAATATGGACAAAAGGAGATCCTCAATTCTAAACAACCAAGGTATTCATTTTATTTCTCTTTCGTTCTTGTTTAGTAATTCATTTAACAAATGCACATTTGACAATGGAATCCCTTCTACAAATGAATCTTAAAGCCAGTATGTGTGATTTTCTAAATTTGTTATAGTTATTACTATTTCTTTTAATATTCTTCCTTTGTAAGCAATCAAATGTACGGAAAGAAAACTTTTTGAGTAAGAAAAGAAAAAAGTGCCCAAAGGTGAAAAATTAGGAGTCAATACTTGTGGAAATATCTGTACATTTCTTAATCAGGACAAGAACTTCCCAAATTTAAAAGGAAGCTAATCATACGCTCCAATTTTCATCAACAGGAGTTACTTCAGGTGCACTCGCAAGTATGATCAAGGTTGTAGAGCCACCAAACAAGTCCAAAGAATGGAAGATGATCCCCAAATGTATCAGACCACTTATAGTGGAACCCACACCTGCACACACTTGTTCAAGGCTCCCCAAATCATCAAAGATTCTGAATCTTGGGAATCTCAAATGGTCACTTCTGGCGACTCAAAAATCCCAAGCAAACAACACCATCATCACTTGAATCCAACTACCGCTCCAAACGTAAAGCAGGAATCCAAGGAAGAGACAACACCAAGTGATCTTACAGACTTGGATTCTATCATGTGGAAAGATATTATGGCTGGTGCTTTCGAATACTCCTCTGAGCCTGGAATGGTGTCTGATTATGGGAATGCGGTCTATAACGTGTATCCATGTATTGAAATCACTTCTCGGAATTTCGGATTGGACTTTGAGATTAAGCCTGTAGAGTTTGAAAATGATTTTGAATTTGATGAAAGTGATGTCTAGTCTAGCTGCTTGTAAAGTTAATTTGTAGCGACATATTTAGATGAACTTAGATGAAGTTTATAAAGTTTTTTTTTAAAATATTTTAAATAAATAAATTGATAAAGTTTAATATAAAAATTAATAATATATAAAAAATTATTAAAAATATTTGATGGATAATTATTTAATGATAAAAATTTTATTATATTTTTTACTAAAATTATTTATCTAAATAATATATTAAAATTTATGAACTTTATAAATTTTAAACACTTGGTTTATAAACAAAATCTTTTAATTTATTAATTTTGACTTTATTTTTAACTGTTTTAATAAAAAAATTTATGAATTTCACTTAAAAAAAATTGTCATCTTTGTCGTAGCTAGAATAGTTTACTAGTCCATGTGATTGGTAATGTGGAATAATAACAGCCATTGAAGCCTTTCCTGGTGTGTATTTCCCTTTGCATCACATTTTCGCTACTGGTGCTTGGATTGCTATACTAGAGAACTATCATCGATCGCATGAATCTACTAATTAACTCAAAATACATACGATCGGTTATCTTTATAAAGAATTATCAAATACAAACAATAAATAATTCAAATATATATTAAAGTATTTTAATTAGTTCTTGAAATACAATCGTCTTAATATAAACGTTGAGCAAGTAATTAGGTTTTTATAAAATTATGACTTTTATTATAATAATATATTTCCATAAATCTTTCCACAGCAATTTTTTAAAAAATTAATGATCTGTGAATAACTTTATAAACTTTTTGTCGTAAAGGATTTATTATTAGGGTAATTGTAGAATATACTAATATCATTGTAAATTATGATTGAATAATAAATTTATCAATTACTAAATTGGGAGGAAGAAAATAACTGAAAGGAAAAAATTTAGAAACTCATTGTTTATTTCACAAGATAGCTTACATGAATTGTTCATCATAATCAATTAATTCCTCGACTTTTTTCTGATTAACTAGGCAAAATTATGCGAAGCATAGTATCTTTCCAGGAAAAAAGCAGAACAGCGACTCATCTTTGTGTGCATTATATGTACAACGTGGGGACCCTGACAAATACGAACTTTCAAAGTGAGACTGATAAACGGATTGGATATCGGTAGCCAACAAAACAAAACTGAAGATTAGACAAGTGGGTCAGATATTAATTGAACAGATTTAGCACATGTTATTTGGAAGGACAAAGGACAAATCACTTGAACATCAAACACAGTAACTGCAAGATAAAACAATTTTCGCAAGTTGATGGCAGAATATTGGAGCCCGAAGTTGGACAGAAGGCAGGTAGCCTATAATGAAATAAGAAAAAAGGCTAACCATTTACATGCTTATAAAACAAAGCATAGTGGTGGAGACATTCAATATAAGAATGAGATGTTTCCAGTGAATCAATGCTCAAACAATGTATCAAGTTAATGGAGATTTAGAAATATATTCCGCACTTTTTTGCGAAACTATCTGTTTAATTTGATACAATTGATTCTCAAATAATAATAATACACTAAATAAATTTTAGCACATTGCTGTGATTTAAATTACCAGTATTCATTAACTATGTTGACGGTATTTTGAATGTTTTAGCTAAAAAAAAGCGAGATTAGATTGTAGGGAAGATAGCTTGAACTTGCAGTTAAAGAATACAATCAGAGGCATCTGAGTTGTTGCTTCACGGCGTGCTACAACATTCAAGCCAATAAAGTATATGAGATGAGGTAAGGGAAAAAAAAAAAAAAAGAAAGGAGGAGGAGGGTAAAGTGTGTGTGGGACATTTAAGAGAAGGTAAGTTTTGGTGTGAAGTCTAGGAATGTCCTTTGTGTCTGGGTTTTCTTCCTAACTTATGTATAAGATAAGGGTCAATGATAAAAAGAAAATAATTTACAATTAATAGTTAATGAGATGTATATGTAAAATTTAAAAAAAATTTACGTAAATAATTATGAATCACATTTAAATATCTCAAATAAAGTTTAAGTTACATTTTAATAATTTTAAGTAAGTTGATTATTAAGTGATCAATTTTAAATTGATTATCTTGATAAGATATCAATTGTATGTTGGATAAATTTTTTTTTGACGAAAAGACAAGTCATTTCTTTAAAAATAAATGATGTAATATTTTAAGTGTTTTTTATTTAGATAAATTAAAGGTATGATTGTATTGATTAAGCTTTAATCAAATTGATTATTGATCAAATAATTTAGGCATAATAATTATCCATAGGTCCCAAGGATTATAAAGTGACCGCCTTCGAATCATTGTTCAAAGCCTGAAAAGAAGAAAGAAAAAAAGAAAAAATGTTTTGGCAAGTGGGCAAGGGTATTTTGGCAAGTGGGCAAGGCGAGCTTAATATGATGACGTGTCCTTTTAAGGCTAGATGAATATCTTTGGCAAATCGATTGTGCTGAGGTGTCCCTGTGGATGAGACAGTGTGCTCAGTGAACCTGATTGATGACATGAAATGCTAGGAAACAGTGAGCATCTCTTGGCAAGTTAGGAATGTGGTAGAGTTATAAGGAACAGAAGATGAGGACTTTGGAAAAATTTTTATGAAATTTTATCACTTGTTTGTGGATCGTGTGTGATTAGAGCATGTGCTATGGGGTAGTGTATGGTACGTGTCCGTGTTTCTGAGATATGCGGTTGAACAAGGCACATGTTGTGTAGCAAATGGAAAGTTTTCGAATGAAATTAATGGGTGCATATTCTCAAAATATATCAGTTTGGAGGGGAATGTATGCATTTATTTTTGAAAAAGGGTAACTCAATAGGTTTTGTAAAAGGGATTAATTTTTATATTATTCATGAATCGGTTAAAACAATTTAAAGAAATATAGTTTCAAGAGGTGTCGTTTAATGTTTAAGGGTTTGAAATTGGTGTCGTTTCAAACATGTTTGGTGGGGTATAATACGGGACTTGGGAAAATTTTCAGCCTTCACTTCTGCCGTTTGCTTTCAAGAGAGGATTTTTGCTTCTGTCTTCTGTGTTTGTTTTTTGTTTTTAACAATTTTGAAAATTTTCTTCCAAAAATTTTCAATGGGTAAGATCCATTTGCTTTCTTGCTTTTTCTCGTTATTTCTATTGGGTATTAGTAAAGAAGAGAGAAAATGGCACCTAAAAAGAGAATCGTAATTGGAAAAGTTCTGACGAGAAAGGTAGCTCTAGGGTTCCGACAACAAACACTGGTGGCCAGGGTAGAAGAGAGAATACTGATAGAGCCTAGGAAAGGGCTAAGGGCAACCAAAATAAAGGCCATGAGAGCCAAGGCAGTCAAGGTGGTGGGAGCAAAGCGGCAGCATAGTTATTAAGAAGGGAGAAGCCTCTAGTGCCGCTGCTGGTGCCCCTATTACTGGGCGTGAACAAGATAAAGGGAAGGGGGTGATCGTAGAAGAGCCCAAAGATTTGGCTATGGGATCCAACTACCACTGAACCCATTCTTTCATTTGCTACTAGCCACCTTTAACGTCGTAGCAAATCAGATTGCACCAAACATATGGGCGATCCTGGTGATGTGTCTCATCTTTTGCAAGCTAAATGGATGGGAGCTCTTGGTGAACGTCATCCTAACTCTATATATGCTGAAAGAGAATTATACATGGTTGTACTTCCTCTAGGCACAAGACAAGTCAACCATTGTAGATCTACCCTCCAATAGCCACTCTTATTATGATCGGTTTGTGGTGGCGCTCGCTAAGATGGTGGGGGTTAAGGTTCCCTTCAAAATGAGATACTCATACATTAGTCGGGATGATTAGAGGTGTAATCGAGTCGAGTCGAGTTGATACAGTGAGAAGTTTGAACTCGACTCACAATTCGTGGTTCGATATTCGGTTCGAACTCAATCGAGTTTTATTTTTTAAGCTCAAGTTCGATTCGTGATCGAATTCGAGCTACTCGAACTCGCTCGATTAAATTAGATTAATATGTAAAAATAAGTTTGATTCATATACTCGATAAGAGTTCGATTATTTATGCCTCGAGTTCAAACTCGAATTCGAAATATTTTATTAATTAAAATAATAAAAATATATTTAAATATAAAAGCTCGATTAGACTCGCGAGCTACTCAAGTCGGATATAAGAATACTCGAATTCGACTCGATCGATAAGTCGAGCTACTCGAGCTTGAGCTCGACTCGATAATAATCGAATCGAATTCAAGTTTTCTTCGAATCGAATCCGAATAGCTTGTGAGTACTAATGTATTATTTACACCCCTAGGGATGACAATAGATAATAAATAAAAAGATATTCATTATTATTCAATATGTTTATATTTGATTCAAATAGTTATAAACATATAATTAATGGATTAAAATAAAAGATTTATCATCCGTGATGGATTCAGAATGGATACGGATAGTATCCCATAGATATCCAATATTTAAATCCATTTAAGTTTAGTGAATTGTAATGGATATCTGAATCAGTATTCGAATTCGTTACCTGTTTATAAATGTAAAATATATAAAATTTTGTATTTGTAAAAGATTTTAAACCTTAAAAAATAACTTTTATTTATTATTAATTAAGAGTGAACTTGAATTTTAAATAATATTCTTGTTTATTTTATATTTTGATAAAAAATTAAATAAATGGATATTTTAATGGATTTAGATATTTAAACGGATAGTGCTTATTTTAAACGGATTTAGATTTGGATAGTAATATTAAACTTAACCAGATTCAGATATATAAATATTAAACAGATTCAAATATAGATATATAAAAAATAACGGATATTCGCTTTGTTACCATTCTTATATGTTAGCCCTTTGACTAGAGAATTACTTGAGCTGAGAGAGGATGAGCTCAATCAAGCACGAACGTTGAAGGATGCCAAGGTCTCTTATAAGAAGGTAGCCATCCCAATAATATCTACGAGTATTGTGCAGTAATTGGGGAAGATCAGACTTCTACTGTTTATGGGGTTATGGTTGAAGAGAAAGCTTAATAAGAAGCTAGAGCCCAGGATAAAGAGGCAAGGGCTTACCCCCAAGGCCAAAGATGTAAATTGTTATGTTGAATTTGTAGTTGGACTTGTGTGATGTGGAAACTATTGTGTTTGTTT